TTTAATTAATTAATTAATTAATTTTTTAAAAAAGTTTTTATTTTTTTATTTTTATTGTTATGTTAATCACCATATATTACATCATTAGTTTTTGGTGCAGTGTTCCATGATTCATTGTTTGTTCATAACACCCAGTGCTCCATGCAGAACGTGCCCTCCTCAATACCCATCACCAGGATAACCCATCCCCCTCCCCCCTCCCCTCTAGAACCCTCAATTTGTTTTTCAGAGTCCATCGTCTCTCATGGTTTGTCTCCCCCTCTGACATACTCCCCTTTTCTTCCTCTCCTGTTATCTTCTTCTTTTTCTTTTTTCTTAAAATATGTTGCGTTATTTGTTTCAGAAGTACAGATCTGTGATTCAACAGTCTTGCACAATTCACAGCGCTCACCGTAGCACATACCCTCCCCAATGTCTATCACCCAGCCACCCCATCCCTAAGTTTTTATTTATTTGACAGAAAAAGACCAAGAGGGGACACAAGCAGGGGGAGTGCGGGAGGGAGAAGCAGGCTTCCCGCTGAGCAGGGAGCCCGACCCCAGGGTCCCAGGATCATGACTTGAGCCACCCAGGCACACCTCAAGGCTGATTTTAAAACAAAACTGAAGTGTCAATATTTTATTAGAAATATATTTACAAACTTATGTAATTTATATTGATAAACACTTAAAAATTATGTTATATTTATAAACAATCTCCCAAAGTGGCAAAAGAAGTTATGTTTTTCTCATCATTCCAGATAATTCCATTAACTTTGTTGAATTGTTCTTCCGGCACCAAGGAAAAACAAAGATACAAAGCCCCTATTTTTAGTGTGCCTGAATTGTGTAAGAACAGAAAAACAATGCAGCAATTTGGATTTAAAGAGATACAATTTGAATAGAAGATGCATGGATGGCAAAGAAGCACATGAAAAGATGCTCAAACAATATGGATGAATCTCAAAATAAGCATGTTGAGTGAAAAACCAAGACAAAAAAAAGAGTACGTACTGTATAATTGCATTTATATAGAAATCTAGAAATTGCAAACTAATCTATAGTGACAGAGACCTGACCAGTGACTGCCTGGGGATGGAGGGGGGGTGTGGGCAAGGACAGGAAGGAGGGGTAATACGGGGGGGGGGAGGGGGCACTGAATATGCTCACCCTCTTGATTTTGGTCATGGTTTCATGAGTGTATATATACATATCAAAACATCAGATTGGGGCCCCTGGGTGGCTCAGTCGGTTAAGCGCCTGCCTTCGGCCCAGGTCATGATCCCGGGGTCCTGGGATTGAGCCCCGCGTCGGGCTCCCTGCTCAGCAGGGAGCCTGCTTCTCCCTCCCCCTGCTGCTCCCCCTGCTTGTGCGCTCTCTCGGACAAATACACATACAAAATCTTAAAAAAAAAAAAAACCCAAAAAACCCCCATCAGATTGTACACTTTAAATATGTGAAATTTATTGCATGTTAATTATACCTCAATAAAATTGTTAAAAGTGAAATTTAAAAATGAGACACTAATACGTAATGTTTGTTAATTTACTCATTTATTTGCTTTTTCTTTCATTTAACAGAGTTTATTGAGTGTCTTAATTGTGCCAGAAGATAAAAGAGGAAAGAGATGGTCTGCTTCTACGTCTAGTAGAGGAGCCAGGCAATGGCAGCTCTGCATGATATTCTCGTTGGATGTACGCATAGGAAGCTAAGAAACTGTCAAGATTAGTGTGTGTGTTGGGGAAGGCTTTTCAGAGGGCCTTGACCCTGAGCTGAGTTCTGAAGGTTGAGGAGGGAGGATGGGTTGTTTATGTGGCAAAGGCTGCACCTTGCTGTCTTAACCAAGGCCTAGGGGAGAGAACAGGCCCTGAGGCAAAAATCATAAAGCTCAATTGATAGCTCAATTGTTATCAGACAGTTCACAAGTCTGCTTGGTACATGGGGGTCAAGTTTAATAAAAGCAAGACAGGTCTTTCTTTTAATTAAGAAAAAACAATACATCAACACCAAGCAACAACAGGAAAGAAAATCCAGGTCTATTTTTCATGGATTATCTGGTTTATCTTATAGGAATGTAAGGCCTTTTCTAGACTATAGAAATATAAAGTCCAGAAAACAACAACAACAACAGCACATTTAAGTTGTACTGTAGAGAATGAGAGAGGAAGGTAGGATTGGAGAGAGACTAGTTAAAGGAATTCAAGGAAAGGATCATAGGGCAATAGCAGAAGGAATAGAAAGTGGATCGATTTTAAAATGATTAAAGTGGGGAGAGGACGTTCAGCAGTCCCTTTAGCCTAGTTCCAAGTTTAGGTCAAGGTGTCTTCACTTTTTTGTCTTCTGCTGGAGTCGAGCTCCAGCAGGAAAGGGTTTCTTGAAGGAAAGGACGGCGTCGGCGAGTGAGGAAACACGGACACAGGATCAGGTTATAAGCATCTCCTCCCGACAGCCTCGGAGGGACTTTATTTATTCATTAGAATATCTCCTTGTTTTTCCATTCTTTCTTAACATGTGATTTTGTTTTTTACATTTTATCGCAACCATTTCGGATTTAAAAACAAAGGTGCTCAACAGAGCGTGACAGTGCGAGACAAAGCGTGACCTATCTGCTATTGTGTGCTAAGGCGAAAAAGTTATATTTTTACTCTTGCTCAAAGGTTTATCTAAAGTTTATTCTTTCTCCAAAGGCAGCTTACAATGTGTGCACCCTATCTTATCAAAGTACTTATTCCATTTCTATATGTTTTCGTCTCTTGTCCTTGCTCCATAGACACCACGGAGGATTACTCCTCTTAATCTTTACCCAGAGGCTGACAGATGATGCCTGCACCCTTTTTTCCTTTAATCTTATACCATTTGTTCATGTCCTCATTATCAACTACATTATAAGGAATGCGAGGAGTAGGGGAAAGGAAGTTAATCCTACTCCAGGGCTTGCCTCGAGGGGCATACCAAAGGTGGCCTCCTATTTTGTATGCAACATAGGGAGGTCCCTGTACTGTGGGAATGACAAGAGATTTTCCTTTCCTAGAATCCTGATGTTTCAGAGGTGCCTGAGGAATCTCATTAATAGGAATTTTTACTGAGCCTGGATCCAACAACTCCCTTACAGATTGGAGGACATTGGGTATTTTTACTTCTTGGCCCATCGTCAGCCTTTTTGGAATCAGTTTCATTATGATTGCTTGCATAGGCATAACTAAATTTATAAATCATTTTGTCATGAAACCCCAGAAAAAATCCCATGATTATAAAGATTGCCGCAAATAAAATGAAAGGAAGTAGCAGGAGCCAGCTGTGGAGTCTCCTGATTTTCAGGATTGTCCCCCATACTTGGACTTTGTCAAACAGCATGAGTAGCTTGGCTCGCACCAGTCTTCACATTATTAAATGCATCTTCAATGATGAGCACTTAGATTTTTACTGGAAACCCTCTTTTGTAAAAATGTTAGGCTTACCTCCTCTCCCTGGTGTCTTGGGCAATAACTGGGATGTTCTTGCTATTCACAGGGATAGAACACAGAAGCTAGTTAAAAACAACTCTTTGACAAATTGATCTTGAACATGGATTAAGGTTTATTGCTAGTAAGAGAATTGGAGTGTGCGGAAACGAGAAGTTATAGTTGAGAAAACAAAGGTTTACATCAGCAGCTCATTTTTTTAAAAAGTAGCCAGTTAATAAATACCGTTTTATTCACAGTCATATTAGTTTTTATAGAGGAAATCTAGGACAGAGTGACTCAGAGATGCTAGGTGTGTATCCTACCCATCTAAAATAAGTAGTCATTCATGCAAGGAGCAAATGAGCAGGATGCATCTGGGGTTGTTAACTGGAATAAAGTTTCATTGCCTTCTAGTAGTTCCTAGAGGTTCCAGTTTACAGGGAAAATGGGAAACCCTGTAAATCCGAGGGCTGAAACGGAGAACATAAGCAACAAGCTCTAATTTTGAACAGGTGGCTGTCAGATCATTCCCCAAACTGCAGACTAAGATGCAGAAACATGATTTGCCCGTTTCTTAGTTCGGTCAATTTTCTTTTTTCCCTTTGGCACACCTGAGCGGGTTTTAATTGTTGTCAGGTGGGGTGATGAGTCGATTTTGGAGATGTTGAGGGTTGGAAGATGGACATATGGGTCCAGAACTTGAGTGATATAGATTGCAAATAGATTTATATTGTACATTTATGAAAGTTATAAGAGAGAGGACATACATTATGATTTCAGCTGAAGTTTAAATGTCATCAAGGGCTTATACTGTGTCTATTTTGCTCACCACTCTCTGCCCAGTGCCTAGAAGTGTGTGTAGGGGTTCTGAAGGAATTGCCCCAAGATGTGCCACTTTGGCCTGTGGATTATTTCTGAACTGAAAACAATCAAGGTACCAAAGACTCAGGAAGAAACTGACCTCCCCCCCAACTGCCTGGAAGAATATAAATAGAGGACCTGCTCCAGAAGAAGTCTATCACCATAGACAACTACAGCATAATATGAACTAGGCGTGATAGGGAGGAATTTAGCAAAGTCTGTTACAATTCCTCTCTGTCCCATTGTTTCTGTGTGGCCCAGCAAACATTTACTCCTTTCATCTTCTGTGAATTACTTTCCTTCCCTTTGAAGTCCCAAACTCCCTTCTCTTTAGTTCAGGACGACATATAAACCTTTCTGTTTTTGCATCTCTTCTACACCGGGCATTCCCATAGGTACAAGGTTCAATTTGGTTTTCTCCTGTTGATGTGTTTCATGTCAATTTAATTCTAAGGTCAGCTGGAAGAAGCTTTGAAAGGCGGAGGAAGGGAAGGGAAACATTTTTCCTCTCCAACAAGTGACTGGCACAAAGCAAACCCTCCACAGTTTCACTGGATTTCGCAGAAATCAGTTTGACGGTCCCACGCTTACAGAAAGAGGTCTGGGTGCCGCCTCCTTCGGAGGCCCTGCCCCTTTAAGGTAGGAAAAGGCCGACGGAGGCTGCTGGGAAGGAGGGCGGGGCGCGCGGTCTGGGCTCTGCATCCGGTAGGCGCGCGCCTGCCTGCCCGCGGGGGTCGGCGCGCCAGGTGCGGTTCTAAAGAATGCCGGGAAAGACGCACAAAGGCGAGTGCTTAGCTTCCCTGGGCGCTGTTAGCCCACCCTGGTGAGGACAAAAAGGAGGCCTGTGCCTGCCCCTTTAAGACCGAGTCCCGTTCTCCTCGGAGGGAAATAACGTGGTCACGAACACTTTTGGAACTTACCTTTTTAACCCCTCTTCCTTCCTTAACATTGATAACAGGTACCGAGTGCCCACCGCATGGTCCCATGTTCATAAAGGATGCTTCTTTGGTGTTGGGGTGAGAGGGGGAGGCGCCGGTCTAGACAACACGGTGTTCCAAACCAAAATCCTCTCATATTTGCTCTGCTGTATTTATAAGCTTGTGCGATTCAAGGGCTGCCCCAACACTTCCTAAAGGAATTAGTCCTGGGATCCCGAGGGCACGATGGGGAGATGACACCCACTGAAAGCCTATCCTGAGTTCGCACGCAAGTGGCCTGACAGGCATTTTAGCCTGCCCTGTGTTTTGATATTTTAATTGATCACTTGCGTTTACAAGTGGGGGTTTTTGTGTGAATATCTGGATTATCTTGAGAAACTGGAAGATCTGGCAGCGTGTTCTTACCTGGAAGCAGTTTGCTGGCCCCTTTGCACTGCTCAGAAACAGAATCCAGGTCGCCACAGCCCCTCTGCTATAACCAGCGGCATCACTCATGGATCACCAGTCTGGCCCCTACTCTAAATATTTGGGTGGATGGATATAGGACTGTTTAAAACATTTATGCAGAACAGGTCAGAGGTCCCAAGTAACTGGGCATATTGTTTGTGTTTAAACTGCTGTTTCTTATTCTTTCTTGTTCTTATCAAGGTGTTTTTCTGTTGGAACAAGCCTTTTTGGCCCAGGCTTGGTAAAGATGAGTCATCAGAGATATTTAGAGCAAGATATTTGCGAGTTGACATTTTTTATGACAATTAAATCCATAAAGTTTTAAGAAAAAATCTGAAGCTTGATTACATTGATGTGTACTCAGTATAATTTTTATACCTTTGTCTACAGTTATAGTTTGGTAACCTCCACAACTCTTGGCAAGACCTCATAAAGGCCAGAACCGTGTTTGCCCTGGTAATAGCTCTACCTCACTGCTAGAGTCTAAGCTTCCCAAAGATGGAGACTTATTTTGTTCACAGTGCCTGCTTAAAGGTAAGTGGTTTACTAAATGTGTTAAAAAACTTTATTTTGTGTGTGTGTGTGTGAAAGAACTTTAAAGGTAAACCTTATTTCATGTAATAGGCATGTTCCCGAGGTTTTCTGTCAAAATCAAATGCGTGTATATTTGCTGTTCTAAGTTATTAAAAGGCTTTTGTTGTGAAAAGACTTCCTTTAAAAGGTTGGATTTTCCTAAGTTGATGCACCAACACTTCCATCTGAAATGGACTTGCACTTGTGAATCATCTGCTACAGAGCTTACACTGTAATATTTTCTTCCTATGTAATGGGATTTGGAAGTGTGAGTGAACCTTGGAATTTTCAGTATTATTTCTGTGTTTAGAGACCCACGGATTCCAGTTGAGATCACTGTGGCAGCCGGGTCCTTCCTTCCTCACAAGGAGCAGCAGCTTTTATCAACAGCAACATTGACAGAACCTGTGTTTTGGACAAGGACCGATGGCTTCGAGCCTAGGTTGGAGAGCATGTGCACTATTTCCCATGAACCACTGTGGTGTCTTTCTGAAAGCTGTGAGAAGCAATGGCCTTTCCTTGTTTCCCTGGGGCCATTCCCCCTGGAGAGGAACTAGAAGCTTTTTGGACCCTGAGATGAAAGCTTTCCTGGAGGAGAACACTGAAGTCACCACCAGTGGCAGCCTCACCCCTGAAATCCAGTTGCGGCTTCTGACGCCCAGATGCAAATTCTGGTGGCAAAAAGCTGACCTGTGGCCCTACAGCGAACCTTACTGGGCAATCTACTGGCCAGGAGGCCAGGCCCTGTCTAGGTATTGCCCTAACTGAAATGGGAAGCTTTAAGGCCCATACAGATCCTGTTTTCTGCAGATTCTTTTTTCAGCCCCTTCCAACTCTGTATTCTCCCTGCTCCTCACAAAAAACCAGAGTTAAATCCCCAAATTCTTGTTTTCTTAATTTGGAGCAGTTTATCAGTGTATTTCCCCAAATACAGTTCTCTCTCCAAAAGAAACCCTAGGATCACCTGTCATACTATGAATGATCTGGAAATTTCACAATATTCTCTGGTTCGTGGTTCATAAGGTATGGCCAGTGCAGTTTCTAGATGGAACCTAAAGCCCTGGTCCTTTAGCTCTCCTAGTTTGATCTAGTAAATGTTGCTCCTCGAGCCTCACCCTCCGTCCCTCCCTGGAGCCTCACTTCTCTCAATTTCCCAAAGAATGAGATATGTGAGTGAGTGGGCCCCACAAGGATTTCCTCTTCTCTGATGGCTTACTGACATCTCAGGTGAACTCTGGATTTGAATCTGTATTTTTTTAAATTTTTTTTTCAAGTAAGCTCTATGCCCATTGTGGGGCTTGAACTCACAACCCTGAGATCAAGAGTTGCATGCTGTACGGACTGAGCCAGCCAGGTGTCCCGAATCTGCATTTTTAAGGTCTCCTCTTCCACCCCCTCCCCCGCCCTCACACAGCAAAAGTGTTCTTTAGAACATTCTCTCACACATTCACGCTATGCTTTTCATTAAAACACAGCTGCTGAGACAAAGGCAAGAGCTTTCAGCATTTCAGTCTGGTTTTTGCTCTTAGATTGGTAAATGATTAAACCTGCTTATACCTTAAGGGTATAGACTTCTGAAATGAAAAGGATAAGGACTTCTCATTGGCAGGAATGGGATGGCCTAACAGAATTCATGGTGTATATAGTTTTATTTTTTTATTTATTTTTTTAAACATATATTTTTTAAAAGATTTATTTATTTATTTATTTGAGAGAGAGAGAGATTGAGAGAGAAACAGCATGAGAAGGGAAAGAGTCAGAGGGAGAAGCAGGCTCCCCGCTGAGCCAGGGGCCTGATGCGGGACTCGATCCTGGGACTCCGGGATCACGACCTGAGCCGAAGGCAGCCACTTAACCACTGAGCCACCCAGGCGCCCCTATTGTATATAGTTTTAAGTGCAAAAGAAATAAATGCATATGTAGAGCTTTTCAGAGAATCCTGAAGATTGGAAAGCTTTCTAAGTGTTATCAAACAATTCTGATTTTCTGGTTGTTGCCAAATTTTCAAGCTTTATTCACTTACATCATACCTTAAAAATATTGACATTTTCAGTGACGTCTATTAAAGTGATTGTTTATCAACTTTAAATATAAATACAATCACAAGTACAATCACCCGCAGATGTGTTTTGTTGGGCCTTTATTTGTAAACTGAAAAAATCAGTTGCTAACATTTAAAACTTGGGACATTTCAAAAAAATAAAAATAAAACTTGGGAAATTTCATGTAAAAATGTCTGATTTTGAAAAACAGGAAAATCTGATAACAGGATTTCTGCATGGCAATAGTGAGCTGAAGATGGGTAGCAGCTTTCTCTTTAGATGGGCCATGTACACCCCTACTTTGCCATAGTCCCGGATAGTCTTCACTTTCCAGTGGTAAGGTCAAGTGTCAGGGTTTATTATTTATTTCAGGGTTTCTCATCCGTCTTCAGTGTTTGATAACTATTTAGTCCTGGTCCAAATTGTTTGGTTGAATTGGACTTTGTACTTTACCAGAGAGGTCATTATAACAACATAAGCAGTAGGTAAAACCACTCTATGATGCACAATCAATCAGAAGGAGACAGTGAATTTTGGATCTAGTTTACTGAATCCTTATTATAGCAGTAATTTGTCAGTAAATATTCTTGGTGTGTGACCGTTTCTGGATCATAGTAAGTGCTCAATATTTTAAAAAAACTTTTTTTTTGAAGTCTGCCTGGTTGGCTCAGTCATTAGAGATTGTTCAACCCCTATGTTGGGTGTAGAGCTTAAAAAAAAAGATGACTTTTTTTTTAATACCTCTTACTGACCTTCTCCCATCTCAGTGTTTCTTTGCTTTCTTTCCAAATTAGATATCTTCTGGATAATCCTGGTGTGGTTGGAGGGAAGTCTGTGTTAGATATTGGGAGCGGATGTGGAGCTGCGGCTATCGCTGCCAAGATGAGCGGGGCATCAAGGGTCTTGGCCAACGACATAGACCCTAGTAAGGATTTCATATTTAAAAATACTTAAAGCTCATCTTTATTTTCTTCCAGGATAAATATCTATAGATGCCTCAACATGATAGCTTATTTCCATGTATATTTTGTCGTCTGATATTGTGAACTTCTGTTCAGTAGGACATTATCTGTGAGGAGCCTGTGAGGCCTGAATTGAAGTGCGTGTTTCTCCAGAGGATTTGTATTTATGTCTGTCGGATGTCCCAAAGTGTACCAAGCTGGGAGCACTTACTGTTAATTTCTGGGTGAGGGATTTCCTGAAATATGTAGGTTGTGTGTATTTGACCAAAACCCAAGTGAGGAGAGAGGCCTTGTGTTTTGTGGGAGAGTTTATTCCATTAAAACTTAAGGTGGGACAGGTCAGTTTTAATTTTTTCTGATTTTCTTTTAGTTTTCAATTTTACTGAGGATCTAGCTTTTATCCTTATTTTTTTGGGGGGGGTGGAGAGGGGTAGAGGAAGAGGGAGAGAGAGAATCTTAAGTAGGCTCCACGCCCAGCATGTGAGCCCGATGCAGGGCTTGATTTCACAACTCTGAGATCATGACCTGAGCCAAAATCAAGTCAGAAGCTTAACGGACTGAGCCACCCAGCTGCCCTGAGATCCTTATTTTATACAGGGGTCTCAGTTCTAACTTGCCCGGTTGCTCAAGCCCAAGGCTTGTTTCCCTGGACAGCTATAATAAACCAAACCTCTTGGTTATTAGATCAGCAAATTTTAAAACCTCCACATTTCTAGGCATTTTGTATTATTTGTTTTGTTTTCAGGATATCCATTCATGCATTTGAAAATTGCAGTAAATAGTTTATATTGGTAGATACTTCTTTACCTAAAAAACAACTTTCAACAAAAGGGAAAAAATATTGTTAGATTTTCTAAATTACTTAATCAATAGGGGATTAAAACTGCCTAGCATAAACCAGTTCATTATGTGCTTCTTAAAGTTGCAGGAGTGGCTATCACACTGAATTGCGAGTTGAACCAACTGGATCCTTTTCCCATTTTAACCAAAAATATTTTGGATTTGGAACAAGATAACTGGGACCTTATTGTGCTTGGAGATATGTTTTACGAAGAAGACCTTGCAGACAGTCTTCATCAATGGCTGAAGAATTGCTTTTGGACCCACAGAACTCGAGTCCTGATTGGTGACCCTGGACGACCCCAGTTCAGTGGACATAGCATTCAACATCAATTGCACAAAGTGGTAGAATATTCACTTCCAGAGCCTACTAGGAAGGAAAACAATGGACTGACAACAAGCACAGTATGGGATTTTCAGCCTTGAGTTGTCCAAATGCTTCCAAGTGTGAATATAGTTATGTTTGGGTTTAACCCTAAAAGACCCTCCAGTTTAAAGCATGTAGTATCTTGTTTCCAAAAGCTGAAGTCTTAAAGTTTTGTCAGCCTTCGTCATGTAACTCCTTCTGCATTATGCCAAATATACAAATCTCTACCTGCAGTTTTCTGGTTTTGCTGCTGTAGGAATAGAATTCTAGAAGGCAACACCAAAATGGAAGCAACATGTAATTTAAGTAGTGGAGAGGAATGAGAAAAAATGAGAAAGCGAAGTCTGTTTCTGTAGTTGAGGACAACTCTATGATGGATCTTCAAATTAGACACAATACAAAATATAGAAGAGTAGTGTATTTCAAAAAATGACCTGTAAAGGTGAGAGCTGCCTGCATTTAGTGTGGTACAGAGTACATGGGCTTGGAGTCAGGCAACTATGTCACTTTCTAGTTGGGACTTTAGGCTAGTTAAGCTCTCTCAGCTTTAATTTCCTCCTCTATAAAACTGTAACAAACTTAAACCTCACCTCCAGGCTATTTTATTAAATGAAAGTATAAAGTGCCTCATACAGTATTTAGTACATAATAGGACCTCAAATGACAGTCATGGATAAAGATAAAGATTTTAGAATTTCCTATATACCGTGACACTTTCTGATGCCTCTTTATGGTTCACGAAGGTTAGCTAGAAATTGGTAATGCTACTATATGGCCCAGGTTGTCAGGATCTTATATATCAATAAAAACCCTATGAGATAAATGAGAATGTGAAGAAGAATATGTATAGTATACCACTATTTATAGATGAATGTATGAAAAGATGTATGTACGTACCTACATATGTATATACACATATTTGCTTGCAACATATATAGCATATCCCTGAAAAGATAAACAAGTAACTGCTAATATGGTTGCCTTCTGAGAGGGTACCAGATAGCTGGTAGACTGGGGTGGGAGGGAGGCTTAGGTTTTACCTTTGGGTCTTATAATTCTGTACTGTAGATTTTCTATTCTCTAATTCAAAACTAAACACCAGCATTGTATGTGTTACAAGTGAAATATAAAATGCAGCCTTCCTAATGTACTCTTAGGTTCTTATACACTGCTTAGGAATTGTTATAACATGTGCTTTATATATAAACTTTCTAATAATACACGCATGCTGTTGGGATTATGGTACCAGGGAAATGTGATCAGAGTTACAGTCATACAGCAGAAATGTGGAGGAAGCAGTTAACGGGCAAGTTGTTGCTCAGATAGGAAAATAGGATAATTCGATGGGAGTCTGGGAGCTGGGGCTGCAGAGGATTTGGTGATTCTTGAACTTGGAAGTCAGAGTTTATTTCAGCCCAGTGAAACAACTCTTGTGCATCTAATTTCCATTGGTCTGTTGGGTCTTAAACATTATCAACCTAAATTTTGATTCAGACTTGGTTAAGATTAATAGAAATTAAAGGTTACAATGGCACTGGATGATATTTGAGAGGAGAGTTTTTTTGACAATATCCTTTGAAAATTCAGAGTACTCTGCTGGTTATTGCCCTTCCCAGCAAGATAAGAAAGAGTAAATTATACTCGGGAGCACTGTGGAAATCAACTTGATGACACAAAGAGAAGATTTAAGTTTAAATATCTACAGACCCTGTTTCTGTTATCCTCTCTTGATGATTTATTAGGTGGGCACAAGGTCTTCGAGATATCCAAATGTTACTTAAGATATTTTAAAATCTCCCATGTATATAATGGTGAGTCTTGAATGACTTCATAGTTTAACAAACAGGTTTGTATTAAGACCATTCACATTTAAAGGGATTATTGATATAGCTGGATTAATTTCTACCGTATTTATAACTTTTCTATTTGTTGCCCTAGTTCCTTGTTTCTTTTTTGGTGTTCCACTCTTTTCCTGCCTTCTTTGGTTTTAGTTGAGCATTTTACATGCTTCCATTTTCTCTCCTCTCTTAGGATATTATACATGTTTAAAAAATTGTGTTTAGTGGTTGCCCTAGTATACACTTACAACTAGTCCAAGTCCACTTTCAAGTAATACTGTATCACTTCATGATTTTCAGTTTGTTCAGCTTTTATCTTAGGACGGGAGTGATGACTTCTAATCATTTTATAACATTAGACCGGAAACTGGAAGTACGGGCATTATTTTTCTTTATTTATTTTTCTCCTTTATTTATTTTTTTTGTGTTCATTCATTCAACAGATATTGGATGCTTGTTATGTACCAGATACTGTTCTAGGCACTGGGGAAGAAAAGACAAAAATTCCTGTCTTTATGAAGCTTATATTCCAGGGAGATAGATAATAAAAACAGACAAGATGCCAGATGGTGATAGACGGTAAGGAGAAAAATAAAGAGGTCCAAGTGTGAGGTGAGGATGGTAGAGATGGGTAGGAATGGAGTACTGAAATTTTAAACAGAGATAGCTAATACAGCCAGCAATCTAAAAGGGCAAGAATATTAAACTGCAAAGTGCTTTTAGGAAGATAATTCTTTACAGACCCTAAAAAGCTGACACTCTAGATCTTGAAAAACTTGTTTCCCAAAAAGGGGGAAAAGCTACTGACTTTGTTTGACGTTTACTATTAAATTTTATTGAATTTGTCTTTAGAAAAATTTCATAGGTGGAACAGGCCTTAGCCATGGTTTACATATATACCTATGTCTTACCTTTGAGGCCAATATATATATCTATACTGTACATACACCGCATTTATAAAGTAATTAGTAGTGAGGTCAAGAAATAGAGTTGAATGTATAAACATTCTTCTAAACATGTAGAAGAAATTTACCATACCATACTTCCCTTCTTCTGTACTACATCAGAGTTAAAATAGGAAATCTTTAAAAAAGTCCCCCTGAGACAGGCTCATGGTACAGGCAATATACTGAATTTGGGACGGTTTAAGCATAGTATATATACTTAAGCATAGTATATATAACTGTGATTATAAGAGTAATGCAGTTCATTTGAAAACTAAGATCTGTGTTTAGTTCACAATATGAAACTGACAGAGCTTTAGGAAACGGCCTCTATAATGATATTTTATATTTACTCATTCTTACACGTTCCTGAATGCAGTTGTTAAGGAGGAAATTTCATAGATGAATAGCACGTATTTGGGAAAAGTAGCCATGAAAATCAAGTAAGTGGCTGGGCAAGGGCCTCAGTAACATTCATATGCTAAATGGCTAAGGTGTATGATGTCCTGGGTTTATGACGTTAAACTATTCTATTTCTTTGTTTTACTGAAATATTAAATTCTGTGAGGATTTACAGGCCTGATGTTCAGCTTTGGTTTTGGCCAATGAGCATTTAAATACTTAAGGAAGGTAGGGCCCAGAAAATAGCTAGGAAGGTAATTATGCTTTTAGAGACACTAAGAATTCTCCTAATGGTTATTCATACTGGTAAATTTATCTTATGGCAGCACAAATAGGTAGGTAGGAGAAGGAAATCTCCAGGAAAAACTGGTAATTTAAAACTTTGTTATTTAAGAAACAAACACAGTACTCCTCTCCCGCCCCTCCCCCCCATACATCAGAGGGCATGCTAGGCTTACCATGTCAAAAACAATGACTGCGCAAACAAACAGGATAATAGCACTATTACATGTTTAACGGTCTGTTAACTTCAAAGCAACAAGCACATTATCGGAGAGCCAATCTCTAAAACCATTGTTTCCTGGGAATGTAGTATGATCATTGCTTTGATAAGCTTTAATAAGCATTAGTAAACAGTCCATGTCACTTGCTTTAGTTTGTTGGGGCCTACTAATTGCTCCAGGACTTCTCGTGAATGATCTACAAAAGAAAACAATGATAATACATTAATTCACAATAATCAAAGATATTTAATATGTCCTCATGTATAAACTAGGGATGATAACCATGATACCTCATAGGGTTATTGAAAAGATTAAAGGGGATGATATATAAAGAACTGCAACTAAAAACATTTAACTAGTGGTAACCCTCATTATGAGCTGCAATACACATACCACAGTAATACTTGTAAAAAAAAAAATAGGCATTCATTGTTTTCTCTGTAATTTAGTCTCAATTTCACCAGCCAGAGATTAAAGGTATAATTTCACCATTAACCTGTGTATGAACTCTCTCAGGGTCCTGGCAGGCAACAGATGTACTAACGTGGTGTGCCTGAACAGGGTTTAACACAGCGACTATGTACAACGGAGTGAGCAGGATTAAAGAAAGCCAGTAGGTGTGGTAAGACACTCTGGGAAGCTGCAACATGCCCAAAATGGTGAGGGCAGGGAGCAATTACTAGAATAGGACAACTTGACCTGGAGGTAAACATTTTCCATGTCACACAATACTATTATAAAACATGATTTTTAATAGATAACTAATATATGAATTCATTATAATTTAACCAATGTATATTATTGGACATTTAGTGATTGCATTGAATCTGCAATCAATTTAGGGAGTATTGTCATGTTAATATTATCTTCTGATCTATGAACACAGACAGATGTCTTTCCATTTATTTAGATCTTGAATTTCTTTCAACAGTTATTCTCAGTAGTGATTTTTAATATGGTTTAATATTTCTTTTGCCAAGTCAATTTTATAATCTTTTAAAAAATACGAGTTAAAGCAAAAATACTGATAAAATGTTACTACTTTAAAAATTATTCATAAGTTTACCAAACTTGTTTAATAGATACAGACTACGTTGTATAAACAACAGCTCTTCAAATAGTCTTGGAATTTTCTAGTTTAGTGGTTGTTGGAGTTACAGATTTCACAAACCAATAGAAAAAAAGTGGGCCCAATATATGGTTTCTAAATTTTATTTTTATTTTTTAATTTTTTAAAAAATATTTATTTGAGAGAGATTGAGAGTGCGAGCACAAGCAGGGGGAGGCATCCAGGGCAGAGGGCAGAGGGAGAAGGAGACTCCCTGCTGAGCAGGGAACCTGATGTGGGACTCTGATCCCAGGACCCCAGGATCATGACCTGAGCTGAAGGCAGACACTTAACTGACTGAGCCACCCAGGCACCCTCTAAATTTTATTTTAAGCAAAACAAAAATAAGCCCAAACACCAAAACTTACTGTAAGCAGGAGAACCAGAGTGTATGGAAATGAAAAGTAATTATACTTCAAAAAACAAAGGTTTA